GAGCTCTAATCTAAGAAATGGTGAGCAAGGATAGCTGTCCCCACAAGAAGAGGAGTGGCGGGAGCCTGTATGAGGTTTGCTGGAGTTAGGTGTGTTGATGGGAACCTGTGGCCAGACTTCACATTTAGTGCCAAACTGTTTGGTCCCCCGAGGTCCCTGAAACTCCTAGGTGAAAGCGGAACCTCTGAATGTCTTAGTTGCAATGTTGAGCTTTGCAGAGCATGAGGAGCTGGAGCTCTTAAGTGGAAACATCCTTGTTGCAGACATAAACATGCAGTGAGCCTCAGCTTCTTTTACTGTCACAATGGAAGGCCGATTTGCTAACTCTCAGCACCCTAGTTCCTGGATTTTGGGGGTTGGTCACTGCATTGGTGAGATGGCAAGCCTTGAAGTTGGTGACCATATTTACAATTTTTTGTTGTGCATCTCTGATTTTTATTCCCAACTGTCTAACCGAGTCCTGCACTTTCTGTGTTCCCTTATGAGAGGATTGGTGGATCTTGAGCAGACTCTCCCAGATGGTCAGGCAGGATGATTTTACTGTCTGCAGTCCTCCACCACCCGTCTAGACAGAGTCATAGGGAGGGTCTTGATCCAGGTAAGGTCTTCCTTAGTATACCCAGGATGTTTGGGTAGATTGGGTGCCTCTGGGTCCACCAGTACACATGCAAAGACTGTATCAGTCTGGAGTGCCACCTGCCAGGTGGTTTTGTCAGCCAGATTGTTGCCCCTGGGGATAGGTCCATCCCCTTTCTGGTGCCCCAGGCAATGGATGATAGCCAGTGTCTTGGGTAACCATAGGGCTTTTAGGAGGGCCAGGATCTTGTCTTTATTTTTGATAGTTTTTCCTTCCACAGTTAGTAGTCCCCTTTCTTTGTATATTGCCCCAGGGACATGTGCTGTGGCAAGAGTGTACTGACTGTCAGTGTAGACATTAACCCTCCACCCTTGCCCCAGTTCTAATGCCTTAGTTAGGGCTATCAGCTCTGCCCACTGGGCAGACATCCCAGTTAGCATCGGCTCCACCCATATCACTTCCTCTGCAGTGGTGACTGCCGCCCCCAATACCTCCAGACATCTTGTACGGAGCTGCTGTCATCAATTCCAGGCCACTTCTGCTTGGGCAATGGGGTGTCCTGTAAGTCTGGCCTTACGCTATGTGCCTGGGCCAGGATCCTGGATCAGTTGTGCAGCGGTGCTTCCAGGTCAGGATCAGACAGTAGAGTAGCTGGATTCAGAGTTGAGGGCACCTGGAAAGTTATTCTGGTGGGGTTAAGCAAAAAAGCCTGATAATGAGTCATTCGGGCATTACTCAGCTATCAGTCGGGGAGGGGTCTTGCTTGGGAACTCCCTCAAGAGCATGGGGTGTTGATTATGGTGAGACTTTGTCCCAAGATCAGCTTGTCAGCATCCTTGATCAGTTGGGCCACGGTCACTATTATGTGGAGGCAGGGTAGCCATCCGGCTGCCACAGGATCCAGTTTCTTTGACAGATAGGCTATAGGCTGTTGCCAGGGGCCAAGTGTTTGGTTAGGACTCCCTTGGCTGTCCCTTTGCTTTCATCTACATATAGATGGAATGGTTTGGTCATGCCTGGCAGGCCCAGTGCTGGAGCCAAGAGCAGGCTTTTTTTGAGTTTGTCAAAGGCCAACTGGTGGTCCTTAGTTCAGGTAAAATCTCTCCCTTCTTTGGTGACCTCATGTAAGGGGTTGACCAGTTCTGCAAAACCTGGGATCCACAGGCGACAGAAACCTGCTGGGCCTAAGAACTCTCTCACCTGCCTGGCAATGGTAGGTGTTGGGATCTGAAGTACTGTTTCCTTCCGCACGTCCGAGAGCCACCACTGCCCTTCCTTCAAGACATACCCCGGGTATGTTACCTGCTGCTTGCAGATTTGGGCTTTCTTGGCTGAGGCACGGTAGCCTAGGTGTCCCAGAGGTGTCTGCAGTTGCTCCTCAGTCCTGGTCAGACAGGTTTCTTGATCTGCAGCTGCAATCAGTAAGTCATCAACATACTGTAACAGACTGATTTCTGGGTTCTGTGCCCAGTACTCACCCAGGTCCTCATGCAGAGCCTCATCAAAGATGGTAGGGGATTTCTTGAATCCTTGTGGTAGTCTGGTCCATGTCAACTGGCCACTGATCCCGACCTCTGGGTCATGCCATTCAAAGGTGAAATACTGTTGGCTTTAGGGGGCCAGAGGCAGATTGAAAAAGGCATCTTTTAGGTCCAGGACAGCATACCATTGCTGGTTTGGGGGGCAGTGACCTGAGTAGGCTGCACGGGTTAGGCACTGTGGGGGTATGTGTCAATCACCCTCTTGCTAACCTCCCACAAGTCCTGGACTGGTCTGTAATCATTGGTATGAGGCTTCTTGATGGGCAACAGGGGTGTGTTCCAGGCCGACTGCACAGGCCCGAGGACACTGAAGTTCAGTAGCCTCCTGATGTGTGGTGTGATGCCCTTCTTGGTCTCTAGGGGAATGGGGTACTGATGGACCTTGACTGGGTCTGCCCCCGACTTTATTTCCACATAGTTGGGGGGTTGGGGGCAATGCATTGCCAGCCCCATTCCCGCTGTTTCGGCCCAGGCCGATGGGAACTCCCATAGTCATTTCCCCAGCTGGGTATCAGGCTCAGTGGCTACCTGATGCAGCCTGTACTCTTCAGTCAAATTCCTGGTCACCAGTACAGGAATGGGTTTTCCCTTTTTATTAAGCAATTTAGCTCTTTCATTAGAGAAATATATCTGGGCTTTCATTTTGGTCAGTAAATCATGGCCTAACAAGGGGTATGGGCATTCTGGAATTAACAGGAATGAGTGGTTTACCTGGCCCGTTCCCAAGTCCACAGTTCTTTGGGTAGTCCATGAATAAGGTTTGACTCTGGTGGCACCCTAAAGCCAAGTCTCTTTGTCTCTCATGGGTCCATCAGCCCTCAGTAGCAGAGTTCTGAGCTCCCATGTCCACCATTAAGTTAATTGGTCTCCCCTCCAATGTTAACCTGGGGCTTGGGGAGGGGGCCAAACCCTGTCTCCCCTAATCACTGTCCATATCCTGTTGGCTAAGGACTATAGTATTGCCCCTAGCTGCCTTTGGGGGGCATTCTTTGGCCCAGTGCCCTTCCTCTTTACAGTGTGTGCATTGTGTTTTTCCCAGCTGGGGCCTTTGTTACCTCTCGGCTCTGTAGCCTGCCTCCTCTCCAGCCGCCAGGCGCTGCCGTCGTCCGAGGTGCTCTTCAGTTCTGCAGTAGCGGCCAGCAGCTCACTAGTGAGGTGCCGATTCTTGTGTCGCTCACTTTTGATTTTCTTTTCCTCTTCACCATCCCTTCCATTATACATTTTCTCAGCACCTCTACTAAATCCCTAATGCTTTTTTTCTTCGAGGTGTTCCAGCCTCTGTAGCTTTCTCTTGACATCTGGAGCTGACTGGTTAATAAAGCCAGGGTCATTGCAGTGGCATTTTCCTGGGTCTCAGAATCATAAGGCGTATACCTTCTGAAGGCCTCCTGGAGGCACTCCAGGAATGCTGCTGGGCTTTCATCTGCTCCCTGTCTTACATCTTAGACCCTACTCAAATTTGCAGGCCGCCTTGTGGCTGCCTTGAGACCTGCCAACTGAGTGTGGTGATAGAGCAGGAGGCTTCAGCCCTGTTGTAGTCCCACACAGGGCAAATCGGGGGAAAGCCGCATCTTTGAGAGTCTGGTTAGCTGTGGGCTCTCCAGTAGGGCCTTGGTCTGTATCCAGTCTCTCTCCTCTGTCATGAAGAGGACCTGCAAAAGCTGCCTACAGTCATCCCACATGGGAAGGTGGGTGAAGAGAATTGTCTCAAAGAGGCTAATCAGCTCCTTAGGATTTTCAGAGAAGGGTGCTTTTTGGGCTCTCCAGTTGTAAAGATCACTAGTGGCAAAGGGCAAGAAGTAGTGTGATTGATTCCCATCCTGGTTGGGAGGTCCTGCTACCCTAAGAAAAGACTGTTGTGCCAGGATCAGGGGTATCTCTCCTACAACTGTGGGTCCCAACAACTGGTCATTCTCTTGCCCCAGGGACTGCAGCATTCGGAGCCAGAGGAGGAGGAGCCAGCTGGACTTGCAGGAGGGCTGGTAGTGGGATGGCTGTACCAGGATTGGGGGCAGAAGGGGGGACAGAAAGATCTCTTCCTCTGTGTTGCCTTCTTGAAGGACCTCTGGCTTAGGAGCTGAAGGGGCCTTGGTGGCTAAGTCTTTCTCAGCAGCGGCCAGGACTTTAACCTGTTGGGGCAAGAATGGTTTAATCCAGGAAGGGGGGTCCTCTACCAGGTCCCTCTAGTCCACTATGTAGGGCACTTGGTTGGGGTACCCCACTCATGGTCTGAAGACAGTCTCCTCCACTGCCCCAATAAGGGCCAGGGCCAGCCAACATTGAGTGCCAGCTATTTCGACTTACAATAGGTGACAAGTTTAGACTTTTAAATCAGAATCAAAAGATTATGAGCACTTGTGTTTATATCGCGCTAATGAGTTGAGACTAAGTCCAGAGAAGAAGTCGTCTGTCCCATAGTGTTCGTCATGGTTAGAAACACAAATACAGAGAAACAGATACCAAGGAGACCAAAGGCACAAGAGAAAAGCTTGCACTAACAAGACTGAAAGCAGGGTGTTAAATGGAGTGATGGCTTGCTGCCATGTGGGAGCGACCCACTTGTGCGTCCAAATGCCATCCAGATAAACAGATGTGGGGCTCTCTGTCCCCACTATTGAATGTCTTCCAGCCCCTTGTGATCATGGTTCTCTGGCGTGCCTGCCCTTAACCGTTCCTGACCACAATCACTGACTTAGGTGCGCACGAAACTAAACACAGACAGACAGACAGGACAGACAAACAGACACTTACCAGCTGGTCAGAGGCCCTCTGGTCTGGAGTCCGTGGGGTCATGAGGGTTCCTAGCCAACACACCAAATATTATGCCCATGTCGCGAATCTCCCAGAGACCACCAGTCACACAAGGGTCTTTTTATTTTCAGGTTCGAACCCGACCACTACCCTATGCTCCAATGCAGCAGATGGAGAGAAATGTGGCAGCAGCAGCAGGCTCACAGGTAGGAGAGTTTTTAAAGGGAAAACCACCAGCTGGGAATTACTTGCCTTGGCATTTTGGGATTGGATGAAGGGATATGGGGCAGGGCGATTTTTTTGAAACTATTGGTCTAGACTTTTGGTGTGAAACCACATTTGAAACTATTGGGTTAGACTTTTGGAAAGAAACCCTATTTGAAACTAATTGGCTGCTTCTAGGGTATCGGTTTCATTGTCACCGCACATTCCTGAGATTCTTCCTGGAACTGAGTACAGCCCCCAGTCACCAGGCGGTCTAAAATGGTGGCCCTTCCCTAAGATGGAGTCTGTAAAGTCAGTTCTAGGCCTTCATATTGCCTTTACAAACCTCTTTCATTTGCCTCTTAAGGGGTTTGATGAAGCCCTGAAGCTTTTCTCTGTGATGATATGGAGCCTGAGCAATGGATGTCACCTGATGTCAGTCTTCTAGAGCAGGCAGATGCACTGATCACACAGTAGTTGTAAGTAGTCCTCACAGAAGTGGGTCAAGACTTGATTGTGCTTCACATCGCTGGGCCTGGTCTCCTGCCTCTTGCTTTTGCTCTTGCTCTTCCTGCTATGGAGCTCCTGGGTAATCCCAACCATCCTTCTAAGCTGGGCATTGCTTCTGAAATTCCCCTCTTGGAATTGCTGTCAACGGACAGGACAGTAGAGCTTGCCTTGTAGATCTGCCCGTAAGTCCTTGATACAGGACTGACTGAAGTTGTGTGCACATTTGATGGTGACTGGGTCTGTCAGCTCATCCAGACACAAGGGGAATTTGTCCTCTGCCTGGAGACTTTCCAAGGTCACCACCAGTGCCATTTGGCTGGGAATGAAGCCCATCTGGACCCAGGTAGGCTTCTTTCTGAGGATTGTCTCTGGGTACTCAGCAGGAACAAGCAGACTCAATTGCCCTACAGTTCTCACAGTTCCTCCTGGAAACAGCTGTGGACCCAGTGATGTCTCTTGTGTTTCCCTCAGTGATGGAAGCCTTGAGGCCTTTGAGATTTTAGACTCTAATTCCAGTTGTCAACTGGGCCCACAGCCAGTGACAGCTCAGGTGGACAGCTACTGTTCTGGACTCTGGCAACTCACAGTTGGGTTGCATAAAAATAACTTTCTTAAAAAAGTTTACTTTGGATGTTTACACTCAATGCCCAACTCCAGTCAAACTCAGAGCAGCATCACATGTCCCAGTCTGTTGTTCCCAAGCCTGTAATATGGAGCCATAGTTCCTCTGCCTATTTGCCTGCCCCCACAGCAGGAGTGGGGGAAGGAGAGAGCCCCAAGGCAGACTGACAATAAACAAGGCAGAGCACAGACTTGATTAAATTTCTCTGTAACTCTTGATCCCCCTGCTTCCACCTGCCAAGAGCTGAAATTAGATGGCTGGGATTACAGGAGTCCTGCTGGGGATCAATCCCAGGGCCACAAGCATGCTAAGCAAGCGCTCTACAAACTGAGCTAGGTCCCTAGCCCATATTTTGTTTTGTTTTTTGTTGTTTGGTTTTGCTTAGTTTTAATTCTTGGTTTTTGTTTTCAAGACAGTGTCACTATGTAGCTCCAGCTGTCTTGAAACTCACTATGTAGACCAGGCTGGACTCAAACTCACAGAGATCCACCTGCCTCTGCATCCCAAGTGCTGGGATTAAAGCATGCACCATTAGGCTCAGTTTGGATCTTTTGACGGAGTTTCATACTGTAGCCAAGGATGACCTGGGATTCCCCATGTATACAGACAGCCCAGAATTGCATGAAATTTGAAGCAATGTCATTTGTTTCAGCCTCCTAAGTGCTGGGATTAAGTCCACATACTGCTGGGTGGGTCTTTTGTTTTAAGGATGCTAGAAATGAACCACTGAGCCTTGCTTGGGCTAAGCAGGAGTTACATCAAGGATCTAGTTGTATCCCAACCACCAGCCATACTTTGGATTCAGGTAAATAAGGATAATCTTACTATAACCTTTCACTTTTCTTTTCTTTTTTTTAATAGAAAAATCTGGACACTAGTTGATTTTAATTTTTCATGTTTGTTACTTTATAGTTAAATGTGCCACAGAATACCTTGTAAAGTAAAAACCCAGAAGACAGATAACCCTTAATACACAAATAAAAATGAACCCCTGCATGGTTTGGTGAGGCACATCTTTAATCTTAGGTAGAGATGGAGACAAAGACATCCTACTCAAGGTCATCTTTAGAGACACAGCTGATTTTGAGGCCAGCCTGGACTATATGAAACCCAATCTGAAAACATAAACCTATTCATAAGGTAAAGGTGCTAAGCCTGATGATCTGATTTCAGTCCCAGGGACCCACATTTTGTCCTGTGATTGACACACCCACTTTATGATACATGTGTACACAGGCACACATACACATGCATGGAAAATAAATGTTAATAAAAATTGAAGAAACAGAACAAACTTTCATTGCTCTCTTATTCCGTCCCTCCCCTAGTTTGACCATCCCATTCCCTCAGGTTCTCATCCCCATCCTCTCCCCTCCACTACCCACCCATCCCTAGTTTACTCATGGAGATCTCCTCTGTTCCCCCTTCCCAAGGTGATCTGTATGTTCCTCTTAGGGTCCAGGGAGACATTATGGAGTAAGGAAAAAACCTGGTGCTAGGGAAATTCCCAGGAATCCACAAGTATGATCCCAAATTAGACTACTAGCAATAGTGGTGAGGGTGCCTGAGTTGACCTACCCTGGTAAGCAGATTGGTGAATACCCTAACTGTCATCACAGAGCCTTCATCCAGTATCTGGTGAAAGCAGATGCAGAAATCCACAACCAAGCACCAGGCCAAGCTCTGGGAGTCCAGGGCAAGAGAGAGAAGAGGGATTGTATGATCGAGGGAGGTCATGGATGAGGAAATCTACAGAGACAACTGAACCAAGCTCATAGGAACTCACAAAAATTGAACTGACAGCTGTGGAACCTGTATGGGACTGGATTAGACCCTCTGAATATGGGAGATAGTTATGTAGCTGGGTCTGTCTGAGTGGCCCCTGGCAGTGTGATCAGGATCCATCCTGGAACCTTAGCTGGCTTTCTAGATCCCATTACCCACTCCTCCCCACACCTGCTCCTCCTCAAGTGGTTTCCATTTCAATCAGTGGAGCTGTATTGGCTTCTCTGCTCTAGCAGCACTACTTAGCTGTTAGACATCTCTCCTTTACTTGAAGGTCCAGGGGGTCCTTCCACACTACATGCTTCTATAAGGAAGCCTGGGTTGCCTAACTGACCTTTTGTCCCTCAGCCTCAATATCACTTCTGTCACAGAGAATATAACTGTGGAAAGTGTGTTTGTCTTCATTCAGGTTATACTGAAGCATAAGCAGGGTACTGAGCTCACTGGCCCCAACAGACCTTATGAAGAAGGAAGGAGACCTTAAGGTGCAGGGACAGGAAGAGCTACCTTTCAGAAAGGTCAAGTGGCAGCTGACAGAAGCAGGACTGTATAGACATTCTGGAGAAATCCTGAAAATGTCCAAGGAACTGATTGATTTGAGCAATTTCCATGTTGTAGCAGAGAGTTTTCTGTGTTGTGTGACTGTTTAATAAATAATGTTGATTCAGAAGTCTCCTGATGCATGCATCTAGGACCAGTAATTTGGGAGCCTGAGGCAGGAGGGCTGCTAGAGCCTCCAGCACTGACCTACCTCCCTCTTTTCCCTGCTAGTAAACACAGTCCTCCTGCATTGTGACAGGCACTAGGGCACATATGTGGTGGGGTCTGAGGACAAATTTCCTGAGGTTGTTCTTTCTTTCCACTTTCGCATGTATACCAGTGTTCAAATTCAGGTCCTTTGGCTTATATTGGTATGACAAATAACTTTATCTTGGCCTGCTAGTCCAAATCACTGGCCCACTGCTTTATTTTTAAAAGAGGCTTTATCTTTCAGAGATATACTTTGAATTGTCTTTGTAGCCCAAGCTGGCCAGGAACTACTTTACACACTTAGCCCAGCCTGATCTTGAATTTAGTTTTCCCACCTCAGCCTCCAAGTACTGGGATTGCAGATCACTTTTAAAACAGAATTCTACAAATGCACAAAGTTCTCTCTCTATTACACCCAGCCCCTTTCTTTTAAAACCTTTCTGCTATGTATCCTAAGAAAACCTGGTAATCAAAATCCTTTAGCCTCAGCCTATGGAATGTTGAAATTACAAGGATGAGTCATTGTGGCAGGACAGACGTTGTATTTACCAGTAGAAAGAAAGATCCTGATCTCCATGACTGAACAGTGGGAGCTGAATATATGTGTTGTGATGATATGATGGCTAACAGGACTGATTTTGGAGAAAATTAGTCTCCCCCTCCAATCTGCAGTTTGTATGGGTAGGTGGGTCTAATGTCTTCCAGGCTGACCTAGAACTTCATGTATTCCAGGATGACATGTCAATCTTCCTGCTTCCATTTGTCAGTTGCTGAAATAATAGGCATGCACCATCACAGATGTTTTATGTAGTACTAGTAATTGAATCCAGTGTTTGTTTCATGCTACAAGCACTCCACCAAATAAGCTACACCTTCAGTCCTTGAAGCACAGTTTATCTACATATTCTTCAGACACTAGATATGATTTCCCTCACACCATCAGTTCTCTTGACACAGCCTATCTGTTTGTAATTTAATCCCCTTCTGACATTAGCTGGAAAAAGTTAGATCCTACAAAGTAAAGAGTTCAGACTCAGAGGAGCCCTCACTTGGATATCCATTATATATCCATGCCTCCCACACTGATCAATCAGCTATTAATCAACTGTGGGTTTTGGTGACCTTCTCCTCTGCATAACTTTTAAGACAGCTCACAGTGGTTATGGTAGCAGTGGTGTGACATGACTTTAACTAGGGAATCACTTTACTTACACTTGGTGGCTGTATCTTCTTCATAAATACATCTTTCCTTTTTTTAAACACAAAAATCTACACTTTACATAAAACATCAAAGGTAGGCTTGAAGCTCAGTAGGTCGAGTGTTGGCTTAGCATTGTACCAGCCTTTGATTTGGTCCTTTGTGTAGCATACACTGGGTCAACAGCTACAATGCCAGCACTTAGGAGGTTGAAACAATGAGGTGACAAATTATAGGCCAGTATGGACTACACTAAGAGAACTTGTCATATGTATGTGATATATATACACATATATATCACAACATCAACCAACCAAATCCATTCAAATGTTTGTGGACATCATTGACCACAGAGAGAGCTTGAGGCCATCATGAGATACATGACACCTTGTCTCATAATTGAATAAATAAAGAATTAATTAATATATAAAAGGTTGAAATATTAATGTTATGATGATGCTGAAATACTGGGCCCAGTGTTGTTTTGTGTTCTCAAATACTACTGTGCAACTTTAAAACTAATATTGAAATGTTTCATCATACAACATTCCATCATGTGCCATAGGATTGGCTTATCAAAATTCTAAATATATCTAGACAGTATTTACAAGAAAAAGTAATATTTATACACTATCTAGATGGTATAAATACACACAACTGGACAGTGGTCTCTAACATGAGTGTTGTACCCAGCACGAACACCAAAATATCTGCATATTATAGATGAACTGGATCTCTGTTTTCTTGAGTATTCAGTTACTAGGTGCCTTGAATGAAACAGATGATCATTAAGCTGAATTCTAAGGTAGGGTTAGGGGAATGTTGTTGCAGGATATTTGATCATACTGTGAACCCCGAGATTTCATTATTTACTGGAAAAATCTGTTTCTAGTTGTGGTGTGGCTCAGCCCTAGCACACACCTTTAATCCTAGAGATTTGGGCTTGAATATTGTAAACAGGATTTGAGTCCCATGTTGGGTGCTTAATGTTGCTTTTATCCAGATCTCAGCCATTCAATTTTATCAATAAAGACTCAGAAGCCAGATGAAAGCCTCCTAGCTCAGAGGCAGAGAAAGTACCCAGCTGACCTTCCTCTTCAGTTGACATCTCAGAAAATACTTCTTCCTCCTCTGCCATCTCAAACAACTCTCCTTTTTAACCCCATGTCCCTCCTTTCCCCTTCCTGTGTGTGTCTCTCCATCCTATTGACTCCTTTTTACTCTCTATTTTTTTCTAAATAATCCTATGTTCACTTCCTGTCAACTGGTTGCTTGCTCTGCCTCTTGACCTATGATTGACTTTATTTAATCCTGTTTAAAATAAGCAGAAGTCTCTTGGATTAAAGGTGTGTGCTAGAGCTGAGCCACAACTAGAAACATATTTTTCCAGTAAATAACTCAATCTTGGGGTTTACAGTGTGACCAAATATCCTGAAGCAGAGCATGGAGCATACCTTACATGTCAGCAATGGAGAAGTGAACTGGGGCAGGATTCTTACCAAGTTTGAGGGAATGGGTGGCTTTCCTTATGAGAACCTAGATACATTTTAATTTTTAAATATTTGTTTACTAGCTTGTATGGGAAAGGGTATGCCCATGTCATAGTCCCCATGTGGAACCCAGAGAACAACTTATGTGAGTTGGTTCTTTCTTTCCACTATGTGGGTCCTGGAGATCAAACAAAGTCAGAATTCCCAGCCATCAGGAAGCTGGATAGGAAGATCAAGTCTGAGGACAGCAAGCCCATCATTTTTTAACCACCTTTATACATACATTTTCAGTTCCTTCACTTTACTGGGCCTTCACACCCTGTTAATATCCTTAATTCTCCTAGTCTACAATTTCAGGCTAAGTTCAGTCTTATTTTATTCTTTTTTTCCCATTTCAATAGTGTACTAAGATCTGTCTTAATGATTTTCCCCAGAGTTTGGCTTTACTTTTGACACTTTCCAACTCCCAATCAACTCTATAGGGTTATAGTTTTCCAAACACAAATCTAATCCTGGCATCTTCCAGATTTCAACCTTGAAATGGCTTTTCATGACTCTAAGATTTTAAGACAGTGGGTACCAGCATCTTGACATCACCCTCACAGTTCAGGTTTACCTGTGGCCATTTTTGGTTAAGACTACTAGAGTGTCAAGGTCACTGTATAAATTCTTGTCTCACAGCCCAGCGTTTCTAACAATCCCTTTAATTCCAGCACTCTGGAGGCAGAGACAGGCAGAGTCCTCTGAGTTCTGGGTCACCCAGGCTTTATGCTGAGTTTCAAGCCAGCAAGAATACATACACAGTGTGTTACTGTCTCAACAACACAACCAAACAACCAACACTAAAGGCGCATGTAACTGGATAGGCTGGGCCAATGAGATGGCTCAGCTAGTGAAAGTGTTTTCAGGTGTATGAAGCACATGACCACCTGAATTTGATCCCCTAAACCCACATAAAACCGGTAAGGAGAGACTCCACAATGTTGCCTTTTAATCCCCCAAAGCACCATGACATGCCCATGCCCCCACTACACACCTCACAGAAACTCAATAATCAGGTTTTTTAAATGTGTAACAGGCTGATCTAGCATTGCTTCTAGCTCAGGCGGGGCTTACATTGAGTTGCAATGTGTGCCTCTGCACCTCAAATCCAGATGTGATCATGTGTTTCTTAAGATCTTAAATTTTATTTATGCTATGGGTATTTTTCCTACATATACGTGTGTGCAGCATGTGCATGCAAGGCCCTGAAGAAGCTAGAAGAGGGTGTCAGGTCCTCAGGGACTGCAGATACAAATGGTTTTGAGCTGCCATTTGAATGCAAGGAATTGATATTTGCTCCCCTTCAAGAACAGCCAGTGCTGTGAACCCAGTGAATCATGTCTCCAGCCCTTTATTCAGAGACTTAATAATATTTTTTTTTTATTCCCAACAGCCAAAACATTCCCTTTCAGGTTGGTTTAAAGATCATTTCTACTGGGGATGAAAAGATGTCTTTGCAGTTAAAAGCACTGGTGGTTTTTCCAGAGGATTGTGTTCAATTCCCAGACTCTACATGGTGGCTATCAACTGTCTGTCATTTCAGTCCCAGGAGTTCCAATAAGCCTCTTCTGGCTTGCAAGGACACTTCACAGATGTGGAGGACAGACGTACATGCAGGCAAAGTACCCATACATGTATAATAATGTTAAAAAACAAACCAGTTCCTTCTACCACTCACTACTTTGTATTCCCAGTTGTTAAAGAATCAGATCTAGGAGCACAGCAGGGCTGGGAAAAGGATCAAGGTATCACCTGCCGCACAAGAAAGGTCCCTTAGTGGTTTACTTGGAAAGCCTTCAGGAAATGGTAGCCTGTCCTGAGTTTTAACCGTCCAGAAGACAGAGGCTGTAATACAGTGCAGCATGATTATGATTCCTGGTAGTAACCTCAGGACTTCAGGGTGGGGTCTTTCAAATGGAAGGCATGCAGGCAAATGCTCTGGCACCTGTCCCACATGTATACTACATGACAGTAGGAGGTTGGCCATGGATGGTTGTCATACACACAGCACTTGTGTGGAGATCCCAGTAGCATAGGTAAGTATTGCAGGACAGCAGTGTGGAGGATTCGTGTGACACTCGACACCTTTCCTTGGGGGAATGCCACTGCCCAGTGGCTTTTGAGATCCCAGCTTCTCAGAGGTGAGAAGTGCCCACAATAAACTGTTCCTGTCACAAATGTGGTCAGGAGTGGGCTGGTGACAGTAGAGCAGACTCAGTCTTCAGCCTGGATGCTGTGTAAGCACTGCCTGAACAGGCCTGAGACAACGTCCATACACAGAGGCAGGCCTTGGTGCATCCTGCTAAGGGGTTGATTGAGCAGCCCCTATATTAAAATTATTCACTTGATTACAAATTTCTTTGCTTTTTGTCTTTCTTTGATTTTCTTTTCTTTACCAACTTAAGAGTAGAGTTAGTTTTTTAACCCAAAAGAAAGTGCCCAGGAGGTATGTATTTCCATGAAGAACTCTTCATTTGTTTCCACTTCCCCTGAGGAAGGTGTGCAGAGAGAACTTAATGATTTGGTAGGAAAGTTAGCTATGAGTCCTTTGCTTGCTGCTGCCATCCCGGCATAGTGATGAAAGGAGTTCCATGTTGGTCAGTTTTTGTACTACTACATAGCTAGCTCTTTTGCTGGATTTTTTTTTTTAATTTTGGTGCATTTTTTTTAAAGATTTATTTATTTATTATGTATACAGCATATATGACTGCAGGCCAGAAGAGGGCACCAGATCTCATTACAAGTGGTTGTGAGCCACCATGTGGTTGCTGGGAATTGAACTCAGGACCTCTGGAAGAACAGTCAGTGCTCTTAACCTCTGAGCCATTTCTCCAGCCCTATTTTGGTGCATTTTTGTTATTGTTTATTTTGAGTTTTCAAGATTCTGAATTTGGGCCATTGCGATGTGCATGAACACACATGTCAAAGTAGATGTGTGGAGGCCAGGACAAGTTGGAGGAGTGAATTCCTTCCTGAATATCGACCTCAGGTTCTCAGAATTGATTGCAAGTATCTTTTTCTTTTAACTTTTATTGATTCTTCTCAGATTTCACATCATGTATCTTGATCCCACTGATCTCCCCATCCCCCAGCATCTGCCTTTGCAACCTTCCCCACCAAACAAAATAAAATTTGAAAGAAAAAGCAAGAACTAAACAAAGGAAACAAAACAAAAACAGAAGACAAACAACCAAAACAAAACAAACAAAAAGAAATCTCATTATGGACGCTGTAGTGTGGCCTGTTGAGCCACACAGTTTACCCTTAGTCCCTTCGTCTTCACCTGTAAGTGTTCCTTGCCATGGGTCATTGGTCTCTTTCGAGGCTTCTGGCTTCTGCTACACATTTGATAATGGACTCTCGCTGGAGCTCCTCTTGGATATCCGGTTGTTATTCTGTGTCATGGGGATCCTACAGTTTTGTATCTGTTGGTTTGTCTCCATCACCTGTTGCAACAGTTCATTGATGAGGTGGATGTTGGGGTGAGCCAACAGAGCCCTGCTTCTGGGCTTGGGTGATGGTAGCTTGGCTGGTCAGTCCACCAGCTTTCCCCAACTGTCACCACCTGGGTGAGCTCTCCAGCACAGCCTCAGTCAGCTCACCCAACGCAGCCTGCAGCAAGGATTGAGGCCAGTTCTCTCGCTCCCAGGCCCTCGGGTCTGGCTTCTCCACACTCACACCACCAGCACCAGCTCCACTGTCTTACCCAGGCAAGGTGCAAGCCCCACCCCCCGTATTGTTGTAAGGGGGAGCATGGGGAGGGGAGTCATCTCTCCTACTCTCATGCCCTCAGGGATGGCTCACCTGCATTCCCCCACAACAGGGTTAGCTCTAGTGTGCTGCCCTGGCAGGGTGCAGGGTCCACTCTTCTGTATGTTAAAGCTGGTGAGGAGGAGGGATAGTTCTCCCACTCTTCATGATCCTGGGGCCAGATCTATTGCCTGATTGCAGATAGCAAGGGGTGGGAGAAGAAGGGCATCTTTTCCTCACTGCAGACAGAGGTGGGCATTCAGTTCTGCCCGTACCTTCTCACACCCTCAGGGACAGCTTACCTGTGTCTCTGACAACAGGGTCTGCTCTAGTGTGCTGCCCAGGTGAGATGCACACCTATGGTGAGAGGTGAGGGCATCTTTCCTATTGCAGAGGGTGGGGCAGCTCTCCTGCTGCAGTCAGTATCCAGCAAGGGGGCAGGTCACTTATCCCAGGGCCACTGAGGGGCAGGGCCAGCTCAGCATGGCCCTCAGGTTTCAACAAACTTGGTTCCTGTGACCCCCACCATGGTAACAGAGGCCATGGACGTCAACACAGACCCCAGCCACAGCAGGATCACAGACCCAGGCATGGCCCATGGCAGCAGCTGGGGCCTGGGCATCACTATGGCCCTGGTGGCGGCACAGGCTACCCAGATCAGTATGGCCCTCAGACACCAGCACAGTCTCAGGTAGCTGACCAGACCCTGGGCATCTGCAGAGTCCTCATCAGTAAAGGGGGTCATGGACATCAACTCAGACCCTGGGGTTGCAAGTGCCTTTACTCACTGAGCCTACTAGCTGGTTCCTCTCATAGCACTCCTTTCTAATCCACCTATTTCAGTGTATTGGTTGAATATACTGAATGTAAAACTTTTGCATCAAGCCAGCTCAGACAGTGTTTAAACCTGAGTTTGGAGGCCTTGATTTTTTAAATTTCATCTTAGATGGGGTAGAGAATGTTATATTAAGAAGTCCTTTAACCCAGCCGGAGGATCTGCCCCTCCCCCCGCCTTTGGAAGAAATATTTTTATCCTTTTGTCTTACTTCTCCCTCTCTTCCTCTTTCTCTTTCTCTGTTTCCCTAAAAAAATCATCCACTGTTCCTTCAGAGTTCTTTCTACTTAGGTTATACTCCTGTCATGGTTTATATTTTCTCAGTCTCCTCATGCACCTATCTTTGAATGCTTGGTCCCAAATTAGTGGAACTAATTGTATAAAATTGGGAGCTATGCCCTTGTTGGGGTAAGTTAGTCTTGTTTATTAAGGTATGACACTGTAGGTTGCTGTGGGATGTTCTGTATGTCAAATGTGTTGCTGATTAGTCAATAATTAAAACACTGATTGGCCATTGGCTAGGCAGGAAGTGTAGGCGGGGCAAGGAGGAGAATAAAGCTGGGAAGTGGAAGGCTGAGTCAGAGAGACACTGCCAGCCGCCACGATGAGAAACAGCATGTGAAGATGCCGGTAAGCCACGAGCCATGTGGCAAGGTATAGATTTATAAAAATGGATTAATTTAAGCTGAAAGAACAGTTAGCAAGAAGCCTGCCATGGCCATACAGTTTGAAACCAATACAAGTCTCTGTGTTTACTTGGTCGGGTCTGACGGCTGTGGGACTGGCAGGTGAGAGAGATTTGCCCTGACTGTGGGCCAGGCAGGAAAACTCTACCTACAGTAGGTGGGCCTTGAGGTTTCAAAAGACCAGTGAATGGCAAGTGTTTCTTTCTGGGCACCTGCCTGTGTATCAGGATGTAACTCTCAGCCCCGTGCCTGCCTGTAGTAATGTATCCTTTCAAGATGATAATGGATTAACCCTCTCTCACTTTAATCAATCCTCAAAAGTGTTCCATTACAGGAGTTGCCTTGGTCATAGTGCTTCTTCATAGCAATAAAACAGTCCCTAAAATAGGTTATTTCAGTAATATTTTTGCATATTATTTCTCTGAATTTGGTCTGCTTCCTGTGTAGTTGAATAAGAATAGATGAAAGAGTGATGGACTTACAAAATAGTCAGTCTCTGGCATGATTATTACTGATGGCTAATGCAGATCCATAGAGAAAAGTAGCCACAATAGGGGCAGAAATTAACGAAACCTGTTTGTTTGGAAAGAAAAACAACATTAGGTAGATTTGGACTGCAGTCCTGTGCTGAAACATAGTCAGTAAGTATCAGGGAGATTGGGGCCATTAAGGAGAAGGTACCTGCTTTTCTTTGGAAATGCAGAAGAGGTATTGTAAGGGCCCTATACCACCCAGCAAAGTGTTTAAATATGAAAGGAAAAGTCAAGGTGATTCCTAGTCCCTGGAGGCTACTCCATACAAAACTTTCTGCTGCTCTATACTGGGGCCAAGTCCATTCCAAGCTAGAACCCCATTGGTGGTGTCATCTGTGTGGTACTTTTTCTTAAAAGAAGAAAGATGCAACATTTAAAGGTCATGAAGTCTTCCTCTATGGTTCAGCTCTGTTGTAGCCATCTGCTTGGCAGAGTCATTGCTCCACTGGGGAGACTGTCAGACTGCACTGCGTAAAGCCATGAAAATGAAGCATGGGTTGCATTTTGAGGTCACAATATGTTGAGATACCCAAGCTTTGAGATAATTGACATGAAAAGCTGAATGTCGGAAGTGGAAGTAGGCAACAAGAGAGATGTATGAAAAGTTTCAGTGAGAAAGAGTCATCTACGCCCTTTGAAACTGAAGCTTCGGGTGTCTGACACAGAGTTGCAGGGTTGGGTGTTTGCCCTGCAGGTTTCAGGTTTGCCTTGGTCCAAACTTGGCTAATTTCTGTGAAATGGAAATTTGTATTCTGTACCATTGTGTGTTGGGAGTATATAATTTGTGTTAATTTTACAAAATATTACAGTCAAGAGATTGCCTTGAGTATCAGAAGAAACTTTAGACATTGAAACAGTGCTGGGACTGTTTTATAATATGGAGATTTTTGAAATTAGAATAAATGCATTTGCATTATGGGTTGACTGTGGTACTATCATGACCTGTGTCAAAATGTGGGTTGAATGAAAAAAAATCTCCCAGAAATGATAATGTATTTGAGCATTTGTCTCTGGTTTGTGGCCTTCACTGGGGTGCTAATGGAACCCTTTGGAGGAGGAGCCTTTCTGGAGGAAGTTGGAACCTGGGAAAGGACGTTGAATGTTTATACCCTCAACATACTTGTTTGTGTGTTTGAAACTGATCAGTCCCTTCCCTTCTCATATAACCATGTCATCACCACTATTAGATACACCATCCCTAAATAATGTAAGGTAAAATAGAAACAATTGCTTTTCCTTGGTAATCCATTTTTCTGGCCTGATATTTTGTGTTTATATTTTTGGCTGATTGAATTGGATTTTTGTTCATGTCAAGCATTTGCTCTTGTGCTGAGACTTACCTTCATCATGTCTTCTGAACTTTGATAGAGGGTATTGTTAGTTATTTTGCGGTGCTCTTACCCTGCGAGGAAATGTCACGAAACACGACAGAATCCGCTAATAAGAGTTTTATTAAGATGAAAGGGACAGAGAGTGCCCAGGCCTGTGGAAGACACATGTGTAGAGAAGAAGAAGAAGGAGCTGGGAATATGGTGCCGGCTTATAAAGGCTGGGTGGCATAGATGCGTACACAGGTCAACGTAACTACTCCACGCATGCGTGTAGATCACATGGCTACTTTGCGCGCTTACGGAACCATGCAAAGTCACGGATCCTGGTTATGTGAGATGCCTTGACCTGGAAATGGCTATTTTGACCTGGAACTGGCTAGGCAGAAGTGTCCAGGTCCGCCGGGCATATGCAAACATGCCCAACCGTGAGGGTGTGTTGTGAACCCATCAGGTATCATTTTTCAAACCAAGATGGCATGCATTCATGACATTACTATTGATCTCTTAAATCACTGGATTGTAGGCATGTCACATTCTTCCTATGTTTGTGTATATGTTTTTGATTTATTTTAAATTTTTGTAATACGTATATGAATCTTTTGCCTATATATATGGATATACACCACTTCTGTGCCTGCTGTTTATTGAAATAAGTTGAGAGCATTGGATTCTCTTGAACTAGAGGTTTGAATGGTTGTGAGTCTCCAAGTGAGTGCTGATGATTGATCCAGGTCCTTTTCAAAAGCAACAGGTTTTCTTACCTGTTGGCCCATCTTTATAGACCTCATTGTTGTTGTTGCTGTTGCTGCTGTTTTATTGTTTTAGGATCAGCATTTACTTTACTGATGCTTTTGAGAACTCTTTGATCTGTCAGTCAGTAACTTCTTAAAAATGCATTCTTTTGTAGGAATGTCATATTAGTCTTAGAGTTTAAATGGAGTCACTCCAGTTTTTTGATAGACAAATACAGAATGTTTACCTTTTTTGGAGGAATTTTGAACAAGCCCCTGAGTGCTATCTATTTTTTGTTTGTTTTTGTATTTGTGTGTTTGTTTGTTTGAGACAGGGTCTCACTATGTATACTTGGCTGTCCTGGAAATCACAGAGGTTCACCTGTCTCTTCTCCTGAGAAGGTTTGCAGTACCATACCCATATTGTCTATTATTTTCTGGAGTTAATAATTTTGATACAATCTTGTTTATGTATACTCAATAGTGTTGCTCTGTTTGTATGTCTCTCTGTATAGGTTGATAGGCATTTCTCCTTCAATGACATATTCTATTCAATTGGCATAGAAATGGAAGGTGTTATCCTACATTTATGTTTCCTTGTAAAATGAGTTGATGACTGTATTTGAAATTCTGTGATATGGAATTAATATAATGACCATGTAGAATTATGGAAATATATTCTCAATGAAGTGTACATTTGCAATTCAGTCAGTCTCACCATTTCAATTATGAACATATATGGGACATTTTAGGATGCAGTGACCTATGAGGATGTGCATGTGAACTTCACTCCTGAAGAGTGGGCTTTGCTGGATTCTTCCCAGAAGAGTCTATACAAAGAAGTGATGCTGGAAACCTACCGGAACCTCACTTCTATAGGTAAGAATGTGAATTTTCCTTCACTTTTAAACTTAAGGTGCCAAGCCATTTTTGGAGACATGTTCTTCTGTGATTTCGACTGTGTAAGAGGAAGAATATAGTAAATGAATCAGGCATTGTTCTAAGGTTCACTGAAAATAGTCATTTAAATTTTGCACAATTTCCAGTAATATACATTTTCTGGCACTGTATTTTAGGTTACAAATGGGAAGACCTCAATATTGAAGAACATTGTCAAAGTTCTAGAAGACTTAAAAGGTAAATTTCATGTGTAAACTGATGCAAGTGCACCTCTGATGAAATTTTACTGTGCCCTGAAGTTTTAATGAAAAGTAGCAGTGTAAATAAGCACAACTTTGTGATGATTATTAAATTCTCACAACAGCATATACCTCAGTGTCAGGTAGCTGATCAGTGTTTACAAAATATTCCTTTAAGAAACAAGACAAGGAAACAACACTTTAACAGATGACGCAGTTTTAATCATGGCCCCATGAGAGCCATTTTGTAGAGCTGTCCATCCACTTACTTTCACACGATTCAAGTATTGTAAAAGTCACACACATTGATTAGGGATTTAGTATATGTCCAAGACCTTTTCTAAGCAAATCGTCCATGTTAAATCTATTGTTACTGATACACTTGTATTGACTTACCATATTTTATTGAGAGGGGCAGTTTGTGAGAGTCAAAAAGGTTATTGTCAGAGAGCCCTCAATCCCTATACCACATCTCTATGAATAACAAAAAGGTTCAACTGTGTGAGTGCAATGTGAAAACCTTCTGTATATTATTCTCCCATTAATAGGTATATCATCGGTCACTCTAGATACAAGCCATGTGATCGTGAGGGATATGGAAAGAAGCAATGTCCATCTGTCTCTACCAAAACAATTAGAAGATGTGTAACAGTCCCCACTATAAGAAGACAAGGTGAATGTGAGACAGGTTTACAATTAACTGGTTTTCCAACTGGTTCATTTTACACACGTAGTCTGACTCTCAGTAAAAGAAAATGTTATAAACGCAATAAGTATGGTAAAATTCTGAGTTCTTCCAGTTCTTTTAAAAGACATGAAAATACTCATATGGGAAAAGGAAGTGATAAATGTGGGCTACGTATGAAGGGCTTTAACCATCACAGGTATCTTCAAACACGCAAAACAACCAATAATGAAGAGGATCTCAATGAACGTAATGAACGTGATAAAACCTTCGGATCTGATTCCTCTTTACAATTACAACAAAGAACTCATTTGGAAACAAAATCCCATGAATCTAATGAAAGTGATAAAGACTCTGTATCTCATAGTCCTCATCAAATACCCAGAACTCATTCTAGAGAGAAAAGGCATGGACATCATCAACATGGTAAAGCCCGACCTGGCTATCTTCAAAGAGATGAAAGAGTTCATACTGGAGAGAAACCCTTTGAATGTAATCAATGTGGTAAAGCCTATGCATATAAAAGTCATCTTCACAGGCATAAAAGAAGTCATTCAGGAGAGAAACCATATCGATGTAAACAATGTGGTAAAGCCTTTGCACGTAACTGTCATCTTCAAATGCATGAACGAACTCATACAGGAGAGAAACCATATCGATGTAAGCAATGTGGTAAAGCCTTTGCACGTAACTGTCATCTTCAAATGCATGAACGAACTCATACGGGAGAGAAACCATATCGATGTAAGCAATGTGGTAAAACCTTTACACGTAACAGTCATCTTCACAGGCATGAAAGAGGTCATACTGGAGAGAAACCATATCGATGTAAGCAATGTGGTAAAGCCTTTGGACGTAATAGTAATTGTCAAAGCCATGAAAGAAATCATGCTAAAGAGAAACCTTATGAGTGTAATCAATGTGATAAAGCCTTTGGACAGAACAGTCATTTTCATAGTCATGAAAAAAGTCTTACTGGACAAAATTCCCATGAATCTAATCAGTGTGATAAAGCCTTTGCAAAGAACAATCATCTTTTAAGTCATGAAGGAAATCTTTCTGAAGAGAAACCCTATGGATGTAGTCAATGTGGTAAAGCCTTTGGACGTAGCAGTAATCTTCAAAGGCATGAAAGAAGTCATACTGGAGAGAAACCTTATAAATGTAAACAATGTGGTAAAGCCTTTGCACAGAACAGTCATCTTCACCGGCATGAAATAAGTCACACTGGAGAGAAACCCTATGAATGTAAAAAATGTTGTAAATCATTTACACGTAAAAGTGATCTTCACAGGCATGAAAGAGGGCATACTAAAGAGAAACCCAATTAATGTAATTAATGTGGTAAAGCCTTTGCATGTAAAAGTAATCTTCAAATGCATGACAGAAGTCATACTGTAGAGAAACCCAATGGATGGAAGCAATGTGGTAGAGACTTTGCATGTTGTAGCAACTTAGAAAGCATGACAGAATTTACAATTGTGAAAAACCCCATGATGCTAATAAATAAGGTAAAACCTTACACTCCACATATATTTTTCTCACTGAGCTATCATACTGGTCCTTGATTAAGATTAGTAGAAGCACTCCATCTTAAAATATTGTCTCTTTTTCAAATTGTAAACATAGTGTCATCCAAGAATATAGGAATATAGGATGGTTTGAATAATAAAACCTATTTACAAATGAAAATGGTATTCATGTTTTCATCCTTTTATTATGGTAATTTATTCTGAGGACTAAATACTTGTTCCTAACACTTTCTCAGAAACACAAATGAATGGCAGAGAATTGTCTCAGTGGCTAAAGGTAGTTACCGCTAAGCTTGATTTCATTCTCTGTGAGAACAATATTCCTCATAGAATTTTTTTTTTAATACTACACTTGGATTATGGCATACACATACCATTACACCAGCACATGCATAAAAATGTTTGATAATGAAATGACTAGGACACCAGCTTAGGAGACTAGCTTGGTATGATCTCTAGTACTCACATAGAAGAACTAGAGAACAAACATCTGTAACTTGTGCTCTGACTGGTAATATGAACATCATGACACAAGTGTATATACACCATTAAAATTTTTTAAAAAGATAAAATTAAAGAAGAAAAAAACTCAACCAAAATGCTGAGAACATAGTTGAAGTTAATACATTGGAAAATTTTAAGAACTATTATTGTTCATGAAAATAATGATGGTTCCTATTTAACTCTTATCCTTTCATTGGCTGATTCAAAGATGGGTAATATTTAAAACATCTCTCTGCTGGGCGGAGTGGTGCACACTTGTAATCCAGCTCTTGAGAGACAGAGGCAGGTGGATTTCTCTGAGTTTGAGGGTAGCCTTGTCCACATAGTGAGTTTGGATGGCTATATCTATGTAGAGACAACCTTTCTCAAAAAACTAAAAAGGGGGTCTAGAAAGATGGCTTAGTGGTTAAGGACATTGGTTTCTCTTCCAGAGGTCCCAGGTTCAATTCCTATAACTCATGGAAGCTCACAACTGTAACTCCAGTTCCAACGATCCAACACCTTCACAGAGACACAAATGTAGGCAAAACATCTTTGCACATGAAATAAAAGTGATCAACTTTAAAAACCATATATCACATTATTGAACTTTCTCTAACATAATTTGGACTCATCTCTACTTAAATTTTTCCTTGTGTTAACAATGACAATGAGAAGCAATGTATAGAGTCCATTCACAGAGGTATAGAAATCCACTCAATTCTTCATTCACCTTGTAGCAGGGACTTCCATCATGCTAGTGATAAAAGACAGAAGAAGTAATGGGACATCTTTAATTTTTGCATTATAGTAGCATCTTTGGGAGCTGTAGATTTGAGTCAGTAGTATAGCTGTCATTCAGTACCTAAGTTTGGTTCCTAGTACCCACATCAGTGGTGAAAAATACCTGCAAATCTTAGTCTAGGATGTTTGATGCACTTTTCTGTCTTCTTGGAACCAGATATGCTAATGATGTAAATGTAGATATACATATATTTATATAAAATCATGTATATGTGTATGTATGTATTTATATGTTTGTATGTGTTGCAACTCCATATTTTAAAAAAGGATTTCTTCATGTATGTGTTATTTTTTAATTAAAATAAAATTAATTTTTGTGTGCGTTGTCAGAATACTGTCCTGGAATGGAGTCATGTGAGGAGAATTTTGAATGCTTGAACATGCCAAGCAATGAAATCAAGGGTCATGTGACCTCAGTTTCTTCAAAACATAGAATTATTCTTGGAATGTGGTTTTGTGCCCCTCCTAATATAGCAAAAAGGAGTGAGAGGATATTTCATATTACTTCTTATTGCTTGCTGTTTTTATTCCTTTAAATGTTAAGCTAGCCTTTGTATGGCTCTATGGAACATTTTTTTCTCCCATGTGGCTTGTTTTTATCATTGTATACAGCTTGAACTCATGAGAACTTTACTTTTGTGACTTTCCTTAACTCACAGAGTATAAATTATCTGGAGCTCTCAAAGAACTGGCTATTGCATGAGACTTTAGTCTGCCTCAATATGAATCAATATAAACTTTATGATCACACTTTTGAATTCATCAAAGAGGAAAAAAAGGCAATTTTTCCTTTTCAGGCAAAGTTGAAAATAAAGATGGAATCACCAACATCTATGCAGGTAATAGCTCCATTACCTTTCTTATTGAAGCCTCCTTTAGATACATATCCTCCATTTTCTGAAAAAGACCAGGAAGCATTGGGTGAGTAATTTACTAATCAATCTAATTTTGAATTATATTTGGATGAGGTATTAGGAGAGCCTATTCTAAGTGCCCACATTTACTTATCTGGCCAAGATTACCTAATATGACTATGAGGAATCAAATCAGTTTGGTTGGAGTGGTCACAGCAAGACTGAGGCTGTGACAATTTTATTGACATT